TATCAGTTATAACTTATAATATCCCTTAGAGCTACTGGTTAGTATGAATTAAGGATTTAAGCCCTGGACTCGGGGCAATGTGGAATGACCATTCCTGAAGACGCTGCTTTCTAAATTTTGCCAAAGACGCGGAGCATAGAGTGTTGATTTTAGGAGTTGTTTGCCTGAAAGGAATGGTCATTACACACTGCATTGAGTCTCGGGCTAAAATTTATTCTCACACATTGCAAAATATTTTCAACAAAATCATCTAAAAGATAAGAAATCACGAAAAGAACATATTTTCAATGAAACTTTTTGCAAGGGTCAAGTTGGCAAGTTAACTAGTGACCTTGAGTTGGTTATAGGTTATATAATGGGATGCAGTTATGTGAAATAGCGTCTTCGGATTGGATTGAATTGACACATCTTGCCTAGATACGTGTGGTTTGACAAATAACTAATAACTTAACAAGTACTATGTTTAGACTGACTTCAGTCAGCTACGAGTTCCCAGAAAATTCCAGAGAACACATTAATTTAATTTGTGTTTTTATATCACCACCAAAAGTAGTGACATGTTGCTATGGTCACCGACTTTTTATGACGGCGTTCAGCGGTTGCCGTCCGGCAGTCGCAGTTGGCGTTCGACGTCTGTAACAAAGGACGATTCTCGGTTTGGAGAACAGTCTCCTGGGCTAATAATTTGTTCATGAAAAATATAGAAATATTACCCAAATTAAACTATGAATATTCAAAAGAGGACATTTAAATCTACAAGATGTAAAAATAACAAATTGGTCTGAAGCAGGGATAACGCTCAATTAGACCGATTCAATAAAATACAAGTCTCGATTTGGGGAAATAAGTTCATCATTGTACTGCGCTAATATTTTTTTGCGAAAAATCTGGAAATATTACCCAAATTAAATTATGACTATTCAAAAGAGGACATTCAAATCTATATTATGTAAAAAAAATCAAAATTGTCCGAAGCAGGGATAATGCTCATTTAGATTGATGAACTTCGTTCTCCAAACCGAGAATCGTCCTTTGGACATTTTCCAATAACTTTACGAGCACTGCTTAGGCTGATCATGACTTCAACTGTTTTGAAAATCATCAGTAAGTTTTCAGAAGTTCAAATCTGGCTTTAGATTTGATATTTGACCTTCAATGACCTTCTCAAGGTCAAAAAATTGAAAATGAAAAAAATACTCTTGTACTTGCTTCAAATTGACCGATGTTTTTAAATCATCTACAAGTTTTTAGAAGTATAAATATGACTTTAGATTTGAGATTTAACCTTCAATGACCTCCTCATGGTTATGAAGGTCAAAAAAGTATTTTTCAACTTGTTTCAAATAATTGATCATTTTTTTCATGATCCGCTGCAATTTCTCAGAAGTTTAAATTTGGGGTCACAATATTGTGAGCAAATGGGTGGTGACATTATGTCATGTTAATGCCTTGTTATTTATTTTATGATTCTTGCAGCGATGCATATACACGCCTCATTAATTATAGATGACCAGGCGTTTAATTAAAACGCTAAGAAGTTTGTTTGATAGATATTCACATTTTACAACTTAAAACGATAAACTGAAACAACTGCCCAATAAAGTATATTAATCAAGAACAAAATTATTCTGATGAAAAGAATGTACTTTGCTCCTGGAAAACATAATAATTTTGACCATGGGTGTATGCGACAGTTATTGCCCTCTTTGGATTTAAGTTTCACGTAAGATTCTGTGCAGTAAGCACTGTTAGAGGACATAACGTAATCCATGGCCATTCAATGTAAGATATATGCTTAACATCCCTTCGCTCTTAAAAAGGAGCAGGTAGGTTATCGCAAAGAATATCAGACGACTCTAACTTGAATTATGAGTAGTTCTGATCATTATTTTAGAAAAGTATATAAAATGACAATTGAGTTAATCTGACTTAGTGATATTAAAGGGCCAATGGACCAAACAACATACTTTTAAAAAAATGTTGACTCAATCTTCACCAAATTAAAATGCAACCCTTTATTATAATATTAGATGCATAATAAGAATGTGGTTTTAGATATGATCTATTCCCTAAAAGGAAAAGTGAATTCCTCCAGGGACTTTAAAGCTACTGCATTGTGATGACCAAAATGAGATGAAACCAATGAATAGCATGAGTTTTTTCAAGGGGGAAATACTTCGGGGAACACATTGTAAAACATGATTGCAGTTTTGGAGAAAATTAAGTCAACATCTTTGAAAAAGTATCTTTGCGGGTCGATTGCTTACAAAATAGCTCCGTCCGAGTCTGATTAACTTTATCATCATTATATATACTATTCTTGGAGATAAAGAATAGGTCTAAAAGATACGCCCATGTTCATGATCAATTCAATATTCATACTTAACTTCAAGTTAGAATCATCTGAAATTGATTGCGTTAACCTACATGCTCTTTTACTGATCGGACAGCCACTTTGAATGAAAACAGGTCCATTGATGATATATGACTATTATTCATTTGATCACTTGAACCATCACATACCATAATCATATTGACTTAAAATAGGTCTGGTTATTTTTGAGAAATTGAAGCATAATTATTTATTAATAAAATTATTTGGGTTAAGTTTTCATTTTTATTTATATGGCCTTAGTGACCTTATATGCAAGTCTATATTAAGTCTGCTGAGAACTTTATAGCATTCGAGTGATGTATTGTTATATAGACGATAAAATAATCATATGCATTATCATAATTTTTTTATTTTAGACATTTATCTTTTATTTCCCACGTAAATCTTAAGATGACTTTGCTGTATAATGAGTGCAAATGTGTATTAGCGGCTCTTCTTAGGGTTCCCATTCTTTTCTAATGGTATAAATTACCATAGATAAATTACGCAAGAGCTTAGCTAAATGAGATGACTGATAAGTTGCTAATCTGTAACAAACAGCTCGTCGAGTCACAAGTCCTTGTGACCCCCCCCTCTACCTACACTCCTTGCGTTGGTGAAGTATATAAGGGGGTACGGTTCACAGACAGTCTTGAGGTAAAACTACAAACAGCGTGCTATACGGTTAAAATCAATGAGGCGAGAACGTTTCATAGAATAGAAGTAACAGCATACCATTCTTATGTTAAATAGTAACATGTACATCATTTCAGACACATTTGGTTGAAATTTTGACCAGCTGTTTACCTTAATATCATTGATTTTATTACATAATACTGCGGGTATTTTCACATCAATGGCCTTTGTAAAATACTTTCACAAATATGACTGATAGGGTTCTTATGAACGATGTAGTTGGTTTATGTTCTCTAATGCTGTTTTATGCCATTCCCAATGCGCCATTGTAATAATATTTTCCTCAATAAATAATTTGTCAAGCCAACAATAGCAGTCTCTCAAATTAATGTTGTTTTACCTCTTCGTGCCGTTATTAAGGTGTCAATTATAAAATAACGATCATCGTTATTTTTAACTAAATGGGTCTCATTTCATGCTTATTAAATTATAAATATAACGTGTTATTTTAGGGAATACTGAGATTGTGCTAAATGTTAGTTTTAAACATAAACTCCATCACTACGCAACCCTGGCACAAACTGCTCTTGATGTTTTTAAACGCTATGATTGTAATGATTACCAGTCCCAGTGGAAAGCTCGGTCGATTGAATTATTTATTAAGTTCTCTTCAGTATTAGGATAATCGTTACAAATTGTGAATATATTACGTTCATGTCCCAGAGACCTTACTTAAGGTCAATGTTAACTGAATGACCGAGAGAGCTAAGGAGGCTCGTTTTTCTGCGTTAAAAGATTTCAATAAGAGACAGGTAGGGCGAAGTATAAGGGACAATTATTTCCAGAAGACCATAGCCCTAGTCTTTTTCTTTATTCAACTTTTACATTACCCTCTAACTATCCATTTCATGTACTATTTAAAAAAAGTCCGGGAAGTCTAGCAGGTACATGTTGCAATGTATACTTACAAACGAGACGCCATCCTTTCGACTGTCTCCTAGTTATAAAGGAGCTTTCAGTCGTTCGCTGTGTACAATATTCTCCTATTGGCGTACGACTCTCTGTGACAACAACTTAATCAAACATTTTCATTGAAGTCTGATGTCAGATAAAATAAGTCGATATTGTTTCTCTTGAGATTAATAGTTATTGCATAATGCATGTTATAATCATTGTAATTTATAGTAGATGTTTTCATTGATTAAAATGGTCTTATATAGCTACAACTATTTGAGAAAAAGTTTTGCAAAAGTGGTCACATTTTGGGATTCACTAGTCCGTCCTATAAGCGGGTCGGAGTCGAAGCACAAACAACTTTTTAGCACCAACACATAGTCACATACGTGCGCAGATTTCTGAACTTCAATGATGTCATACCAAATTACAATAATGTCATTTCGAAGGGCAATTCACTATATTGCCCGCAGAAATGACGTTATTGGTATTATTACCACCGTTAATGACCAAGACTGAAACAGCAAAAAAATCTTACGCACTGAACGATATCTAGTTTCCCGGGGAAAATTGCCAGTCGTTAAATGCATTCTCGACCGGTCGTTAAATGCATTATTGACCACCACTATGACGTCACATATTGCTCAGGTCGATATAGTAAAATGAACGCCTTCTAAACTAGCACTAAAACCCCCAGAACTGGCCCGGTAAGGTGGTAATAATATGTATTATTGCACTTCGACTATACGTACAATATAGCTAGAAAAACAACAGATCCAAAAAAGTGAAGTAACAATACTTTCTGGCAGTAGTATACCTTTTAACAATAACAATAGCTCATTACTGACATTACAGCCTGTATAGAACTCAAAGACGATTACGCGAGACGCTTTATTCTGATAAATGCAAAATAGATGTACAGTGGATATAGACAACTCTGATAATCGGTTGAGATAAATTGTCTGTCTGATTTTAATAGTTTATGATTGTATTTTTACTACAAATACTACCATGGAGTTAATTCCTGGCACTGACGATGAGCGTCAACGGCCCACGTAGACGTGTATAGGAACAGGTGACATACGCCGAAATGTAAGTCTACCATAGTTTACGTAATTTAGATAATTTGTTAATGATAAATAATTGAAACATCATTACGGCGTCATAAACTATATACATGTGTCGTGGTCACAAATATATAACTATTTTCTTCTTTTCACAACCTTTAATTAATTTATTCCGAAACGTCCTATGAAGTTAAAATAAAGGTTGTGAAAAGAAGAAAATAGTTCTAATATTTTTGTGTGTAAAATAATCCAACCTGAAGAACATGTTTAACTATATTTATCATGGCATTTCTACAGTTTTTAAGCATGTTTAAATCCGGAATAAAGATAGAGCTGCCTTATTACACTATTTTTTGTTAAGAAAAGGTCTGATGGAGACCTTCTCACAAACAGGCTGCGGCATGGAGCAAACTAGATAACAATAATAAGAAGTTCATCCGAAATATTGGAATTACTAGTAACTATTACTTTTTAATTTCAGCGTGAATTTTATTCAGATTTTCAGGTATTATGCTATTTTTCCCTTTGTGCGAAGTAATTTGCACTTTTCATATAAAAACGAGTTTTACCGGAATAAATATTAGGTCAACGAAAATCTTCTTAAGGTGTATGTGTTTAAATTTTCATGTCTTCTCTCTCGCTGTCTGGGTATTCTGAAATACTAGTAATTGTAGACAGTTTTAAATAAAGAAGACCTTTAGGTTTGGTGAACGATAGTCATCATTTTATTTCTCCCTTGGCACTTATTGAAAATTCTGGAAAATTGAATCGTCGTATCGTCGATGTACAGTATCAGTCATATTTTTTTGAATTGAAACACTTTAAAATGAAAAATATTAATTTAGATTCAGACTTCGCACTTGTATATATTTGATGCATCACAAATTCCGGGCTGTTCTGACAGAGTGGCTCACAATGCAGTTCATATGAAAGTCTGTGGTGTACACACGTTTAATACACATGGGTGTCTCAAAGATTGTACCGGAATGGGGCAGAATCACTATTTCCTTCATCTAAAATAGTTTAACTTTTCACAAAATAAAGAAAATTCATTTTCTAATTTGCAATTTTAACAATTTTGTAAAAATTTACTTTCTGATAAATTTAACATTTTATTTGACAAGCTTTTGATAATCTATGTCATCATTGAATAGAACTATAGTTTGCGATAAAAAAATAAATTGAATAAAATAAAATAAATTAATAGAACTTATTGCGATTCCAAATATGGAAAATGGGTGCAATTGTAATGAAACAATTTTTCTCTAAAACCAAATGGTGTTACTTGAGGAAACTTTCAGATATTTATGATAATCAGATTTCAAATATTTATAGGTATCAAATGTCCGATGACTGATTTTCGAGAATATTCCTTTATCACTTACAGAGTTATTCCAAGTTTGTTTTAGTATATTAAAAAATATAGGAGGTGGTACTAATACACGAGTTTCTCTAAAATTTGATAGAGTTACTAAATGACACTCCCAGATCTTTATTAAGATGAAATTGTCCATCAGATGACCAAATTTCAGGAATATCCTTAATTACTCAGCCAAAATGCATGATTTGAGGGTTACCTCGCATATGAAGATTTTCACTCAAACCTTTATTTTGATTTGATATGATTGAATCTTAGGGCAAGAGCGCCCTGCTTCATTTGAAAGATCCCGCGACACTGTATCTAATCTATGCTGACAATCTAGTGTCATAGAATGGTCAGGAACACTCCCAGTCCTCTTTTGATTATTTTTAAAATAAATTTTTGCCTATCGTCACTTTTCAAAACAAAAGGAGTTCGAAGCCATTACGACAGCACAGGCCCTGAAATAGTTATCATTTTTGGATACATGGCTTTAAACGGTGCCACTATGTGGCTTTAGTTGCGCAAGTATCTGTGTTTGTGCGTATAAACGTAGTTTAATATGATATAGAAGTTGTATTAAAACGAAGAATTAATGATGACATGTTGTATTTTTACAAGCATTATCAGTTTTAAGCGAGTGTACAAATGGCATATAAATCAATCAACAGAAACAAGATTCTCTGATTAAGAATATTACTAATCCTTTAAAGAGCTAAAAGACATCTAAGCTATAGATAAAAAAGTTTTATAAACACAAACGTCAAAAATGATTGAATTTTGGGAAGTCTGTGTCTGTCTGTGTCTGTCTGTGTCAACTCCGGAATCATCAAAATTCAGTTTGTTGTGGATACAAGTAGGCCTATTTTTATTGTTACAACGGGATACAAGTCAATACATGAATTATTCATATATATTATTCACACACAGACGTTGCTTAATGGAATATTTTAAAGAATTGATAAATAAATAAATGATATAATAGTTGATGTGATATTATCCCTTTTTAGGAACTGGTATTTATATTTAACTACACTCCCTTCCAAAAGTATGGCAACGGAGTGTTCAATTACGTAACGAACACTTTGTTAGTGATATTCTTACAGTTTCGGGAAAGGGTATTATTGATGCACGACCCTTTCGTTCGAATCTAAGAAAATCATTGTCTACTCTTTGACGAATAAGGATTTGCAACCAAATCGTAAGTTAAGACGGTTCCAAAACAGACTCCTGGATATCAAATCAAATTACAGCTCAGCTGTGGTGGCTAGCTAGCCCTTATAGCGCAGCTATTACTCCATGGTGTGAAATTCTGAAGACGCCTAATAATGGAGCTTGTAACACAATATAGCTCAGCGATATTTGATCTAATATTTACATACCTACATACCAGGTCTGATTACGTTTTGAGATATGGACTGTCATCGTCAGGGGTCAACTATCAATAACGGAGGATTTGCTCTTCACTGACTGACTGTGGCTACGGCTAAAATTATTTTGTCCTGGTTAGATATTGTTCAGTTGTTCATCAAACAACCACCAAGACCTGGTCAAATTCATGAAGATTTGAGAAAAGATGGCTTTGATTTTCACCAAAAATGTGATGATAACAAGCTATAAGGTCTAAGAAGATATACGTTATGACCATCAGAAAATGTGATGATATGCAGCAGTAACGTCGTACGAGAAATATAAGGCGTTTGATTGCATATGTCGCTTAAATACTTATTAGACATGCCTTCTGAATACACTCCCCTCCATAAGTTTGGCAACCTTTTTTCCCCCATTGAACTACGTGTTAAAGCCTCTTTACGTTTGAATTTTTATTTACTTAACCGGCGATAAAATAACTTATAATATTTATGGAAACGTAATTTGACTTTATTTCCAATACCTCCAAATTTTCTCAATTTTTTTCCTCAATTACAATAGGTCGAAAATCGATGATAAATTTGATGAATTTTTGAAAATCGTCATTCCCATGTAATCCAATGGGAAATGGAGGGTTCGGGGCAAATCAGAAATCAGGATATCTTTTTAGTAAAAGATTCAGCAAAAAATATTTTTATATAGAAAATTGAATTGTCTAACTTTTTTGAACACCAAGTGTTTAGTTTATTTGATGAATATTAAAGTTACAGCGCTTCAAAGTCATTTTTGAAAATAATTTTTCGCCTCCTGTGTTATTTCAATGGGAGAGGTTTTTTGAAAAATAATTTTGACTTTAAAGCCCTATAACTTTGTTGAACCTGAAGAAACATATCAATTGTTTGTTAAATAAAGTTAGCAAATTCAATTGCCTGCCTAACTCGTATTTTTGCAAGGACTCGGATGGATGGATATTCAGTCATATGACTTGCGGCAAACCTACCATTTCCCATTGGTTAACATGGGAATGTCGATTTTCAAAAATTCATCAAATTTATCATCAATTTTCGACCTATTGTAATTGAGGAAAAAAATTGAGAAAATTTGGAGGTATTGGAATTAAAGTCAAAATACGTTTCCATCAATAGTATGAGTATTTCTATCGCAGGTTAAGTAAACAAAAATTCCAAGGTAAAGAACGTAGTTCAATGGGGGAAAAAAGGTTGCCAAACTTATGGAGGGGAGTGTATATAAACGTTCCAATACCTCTATGATATTCAAATATTTATACATTTAACATTAGAGAGATTTCACAAATGGAACATAACTATTCCCGATATAGAAAAGCTCCATCAACTAGAGACTGCAGTGAATGCACTGTCATCTGCACGTGCAGATTATGCACATTATAATTAAATGCTTGCTTCCGTGTCCTAATAGTTGTAGTGTATTATAAACACGATCCTTTAAAGTGAGTCATGATCCTTTAAAGTGATTCATTACATAAACAAGTTGATTATTTCAAAGTTTTCATGATCAGTATAAGTTCGATGAACTTACAAAACGGTATATTTATGTATCACATACGTATACAGTTCACTGGGGAGTATCGTGATGCAACAACACCGTGTTGTTGCATCAAGATGGCCAGACTTCCGGTGATAGATTTTCGTACGATATTTTGTTTCCCCAATTAAACCCATTTCTAGGACGAGTTGCTCAATAACCATACACGTGCAGTTAGTGCACGATCTATATTTAAAGAAACTGTCATTAGTATACATGTACCATCACCAAGAAGCAATAAGTTCACGGTTTTAGTTCCTCACTATTGATGCAACAACACCAAACCGAAGATGCAACAACACTCCTCTAGATTTGAGCAATGATGCAGCAACACCAATTAATAGTATAATTTCAGAAGACCATAAATCTCGAGAGGAGCAGATTTTTAAATGCTACATTTGCAACACAGTTACCAATTAGCCTACCCATATTTGCGTTCTTCTCAAGGCATTCAAAATACACGTCCTGCGGGCGAAGATCCTTTATATGTATTTTCAAAAATTTATACTTTTACATCTTATAATGTACTGGACAATGTTCTATAACATAGTTCAATCGCCTTTATAACAAACATCTTTCGTTCTCGGTAAACATGATGAGCTATTGGATATTATCTGTCATCCATCTGTGGAACAGTGATAAACTAGTAGATGTACGTTACCACTGTTTATCAAATTATAACTAAAACAGTTAAACTGTGACATTCGTGAGCTTATGTTGATGGGATGATT